TTATTTCTCGATAAAAAGGACTCTTTGTTGAAAGTAGTCTCTCTCTCTCTCTCTCTCTCTCTTCCCACGGGCAAAAATGCTCGAGGCCTCGAGATCAGAGTTTCCGTTCGTGGAACACGGGTGCAGTTATGTCAGTTCTGTCGCAAGCTTCGCCGCGGCCAGACGTGCAAGTGGCGTTGCTTACGCGCCGGGGTGAAACTTGCAAGCTCCCCCTTATCGAGCTTTCAAATGGCTGTGCCTTTTAGATTTTGACATTTTCTTCATCTCCCCTTCTCCTGTTGTACACATTTTTTTTTTATTGCCTTTGTATTGTTCAAGTATATGTAGTTCCGATACGCCGTTTCCGCCACCAGGAAGTCATCCCTCGACATGCCACGAAAAATCGGATTCAACGTCGTATACGCAACCAGTAAGGGATCATCAGATTGTGATTGTGAAATATTGTATATCGAACGACGATAACCTCGAGTTGTGCGTATATATTTCTCCTGTACCCGAGGGCTGGCAATATCGAACCGCACACACACGTAGTATCGTGAAATAGAATTTCATCGAAGGATGATAAAAATATAAGGAATTGTTTCTACGCGAGGCATCGATTTTTTTTTCTCTCTCTCTTTTTAGGAAAACAGGAAAAAGAATTTTTTCATTTTGAAGTTGCTGTTTTTAAGAGGAGGAGAGGGGAAGGAAAAAAAAAATGAATTAACAACAACGAGTCGACACGTGCTTCACCGCATCTCGTTAAAGATTGCCTACGTATCTTCTATACGTAGCCTCTCGAGCGTGATAAAAACGTAACCGGTCTCCACGTTTTTTTTTTTTTTCTTTTATACTTTCGAACGATTAAATATTACACGGTAATACGGCACGTTAACGAGCCCCTTCGATTGTTGTGATTGTAATTTTGCGAACCAAGGCGCTGTATCGCGTGACGAGGTATTTATCGTATTTAATGGTCCACCGTTGAAAATATAATTTTCACAGTGTTAAAACATTATCGATTACGCGGAAATCTCTCCATTTTTATCCACAAGAGAACGCAATCGCGCAAAGTAAGAACGATTTGATAAAAAAAAAAAAAAGAAAAGAAAAAACGTGCAACGAAGTACAAAAGTCTTTTTTTGAAGACAAAATCGAAAATATATTCGATGGAAAAAAAAAATTCTTCGAGCAGTTAAAGAAAAAAAGATTATTATTCGCTCGTATACATTCATAACATGCGATATTAATTGTACGGTGATAATGTAACAGTTGTTAATTTTTATTAAAATACGATTGATTTTATTATATATTTTAAATTAACATATAAATGGATAATAATGTCACAGGCGAAGAGGACAGGCACTCCTCGTTGGAATTGAATGTCCATGGGCCGACGGTAAGGGGTTGGCAAAGTTCACGAAGATGTACATATCCACAAGAACTGATTCTACGCCTTCACGGCCCGACAAAGCTTACGAGAATACAAGTGTTGGCTCATCAATATTTAATTCGTAAGTTGCGTTGCATTTCAAAACAATCTATATCCGCCTTTCTCAGGCAAAAGCTCTACTTTCATTCTTTCGCGTTTATTATCGCGAATATTCATTTCACAAGAAGAATTTCATGGTATCCACGATTTGGTGGAAAGAAAATTTCAAGAAAAGCAATTCGGTGAACAATGGGAATCGAATTAGCACCGGGGGAAGCCCGGTTTCCCCGAGGCTAGATCGTTTTTTGCCCTCTTCGCTTCACCCTCGTTTCTTATTTTAATCCGTGGTTTAATATATACCAACGTCTTCATTGTTTACGAATTCCCTTCTTCCTCTTCTCCGTCAAACAATGGATTGAGAGAGAGAGAGAGAGAGAGAGAGTGGTTTATAAAATAATGAAAATCCTTGCAGCTGAAAAACTTGAGATTTGGACCTCGAGAGAGGAGAATGCCTCCGTGACGACAGAGTTTAGCTATTTGGGTTACATCACGTTGTCCGACAACGCCTCGACCATGTACAAAAGTAGAGAGCTGAAGAGCGTTGCTCTTCCGGAAACGGAGGCGGTCTCGCTTAAATTGAGACTTCACAAACCGCACAGTAACGCGCACAATGTTTATCAACAGGTATCGACGACGAATAACGAATCACGTGTGGCGATTTGAATATCATCCCGCAATTTAAAATTACACAGGTCGGCCTTATCGCCATTAACATCCTCGGCGAGCCTTACGGGCAAGAGCTGACCGGCCAAGGTGATGCGCCCTACAATCCCCACTACACGTCCCCCTACGATGATTTGGCGTTCGAGATGTACGTGGACCGCGAGGTGGCCAAGATCATAAGGCAGATGGAGGCAAAAAAGTTGCAGGCCGTGGAGGGTGAGTGAGAAGAAATTGTAATTCTCGAAATTGTGTGTTTAAAGTTAAGTTGCTCGATTTTTAGAGGAAAGATTCGAATACGCATCGAAACTCAAAGTGGCGATGGAGAATTTAAGGAAAGCCGGTGAACGGCTCGGGAAATACGAGTTGGAAAAGAAATATGCCATAGCGTTGGAAGATTACGACAAGGCCAAAGCGAAAAAGGCACAGGCGCAGCAATACAGGCAGCAAGTTTATCAAAGTTTAGAGGTGCAAGATCTGCTGGAGCTTCAAGGGGTAAATACATAAGAAAAAATGTTTTTAATCTATGGATATTTGACTTATTATTCGTTGAACAGCCGTTGGAAAAAAATAACAAGTCGTCTGTCGAGGGAAAGGAACCTATATCGATAGATACATGCACCTCGAACACAACTACCGTTCCTGAGGATATTACGTCACCTCCGAGATTGGTGATTCCACCTAATCGCGATGGAGCTATATCGCCGACTGGTCCCGCGCATCAACCACCTGTTTCACCTTTGCATCAAAAACCGAATAGTCCTGGTAAGGTTAATTTCCATTGCGAATTTTGAGATGTGAT